CAAATTAATAGTGAAATAATGACATACTTGTGTTATTTTTAATGAATATACATTGCGACTTCTGATATTTTGCGGCTTGTTTTCAAGTTACATGTTCACAGAGTATTTCAATAACTGAAATAAATTAACACAAGTTCAAACTACCTAATGCTCAGTTTCTTTGTAACAATCAGTTAGAACCTAAGTAATAATACTTATATCGATAATTAGCTATTGTGAGCAACTGTTGCTACATACGGACTTCCATTGTCCTTTTACGATGACTACATGATTAATTGTTTTGTTTTTATTTCTTATAAATTGTTGACTTTTTATGACATCAAGTTACGTTTCAAGTAGTAGATATTTGAATAATTATTATAGTTCTAATCGTAAATTGATCTTAGTTAGACAACCATTGATAGCCTAAAAGCATTGAAAGGTCGCTTCGTCCTAATACGTGGCTCCTCATCAGTAAGCATTTACGACCCCCTATCCGGGAATCGAGCCCGAGACCTTAGGTCTCATGCGAACCCTTAACCTTTAGACCACTGACTTGGCATCGAATTATGTCCATATCTAACTTCAGTCATTTCACGATATTAATCCACCGTCGTCCATTTGCATTCGAAACTATGAAAATTCTACCACCTTTACAAACTTCTGTATATTACTTTCAATCGTTATTTACTTGTTGTCTTTTTCCGAAACTATTTGCTTAAGTTTATGGAATTCTGGATTACTTTCTCTTATCATAATAAAACAAATAATGCAGGTATTTCAATGAAAATTTTCACTTTCATTTTTATGAGTCGTTTCTAAGTTTGATATGACGGACAAACTTCATGAGATTCAGGTCTTACATTCATTTATATGCTAGTGAATAACCTACAGTCATTAAATCTTTCAATGCATTTTAATTGTTTATTTTTATGTATGACATATACTTTCCACTTGTTCTGTCATGTCATTTGTACTTCCATTCGTATTAATTTTTGACTGTTGCATAACGTTTTTGACAATTGGTACCTTTATTTAGTTTATGATATCTTTGTTATTGATTGAATAATTTCATATTTTCTTATACACTACTTCATGTGTATTCACTCTGAATACGATTGTACAGTTTCAGTAAATGACGTCATCGAGAAAAGATTTTCATCGCTGAACTCTATTCATTCGACATTTGGTTATTCATAGGTTTTGTAGCAATAACTCGGTCATTTCGAGAAGTTGTCGCCAAGTCAGCATGTTTTGATCATATGAGTTCAGTGCAGTCGATTGCATAATTCCTAAATCATATAATAATTTTTTTTTCATTGTAATAGTTTCATGTTTTTATTGCTTGTGTATTTAACATCTTGTCTTTCTTATATGTATGTTTTTAATTTCTCAATTCACACAGTTCATCATGATCAACATCACTAAAATCAAAACATGACTGTCATGAATTTGCTTGTATCTTCTTTCTATTTTTTATTATTTTATGATTATTATTTTTTTATCAGATGTACATTTTGATGAATGCCAGATATAAATATCACAATCGAAATAGCATGTTTGTTAACATTTCTTGTTAGTTTATGTACTATAATTCATAACATGTGCATTTGCTAAAGCTAAAAGGGTCACGTAATAAAAAGTGAAAAATAATACTATACCTTGAACCGATTGATAGACAGAATTCATATGTAAAATTTTCATCAGAAAATAAGAATTTTATCGCGGTTATCATGATAATAATCATAATGATATAGATAACAATAATCATTAATATCATTCAATATAAGAAGAGAGGTTAATCCTATTAGATTGCACTGATAAAATTTGACTTTTAATGACGTTGAAGGTAAATAAAATAGTTATGTCTATCACTTTTATATAATTAGGTTAAATTACATTAAGATGATGCTGATCGCTTCTGCTATACTGAGATGATGTAATATTGCACTACTTTACCAAAGTGATATGCACTTGATATCTAACTGAGAAATTGTCTTCATTATTGTGTCCATTGTCAATAACATACAGAAGTTTAGATTTAGTGACTTCAACCTCACCAATTGTCAATTTTGTCAGTATTTGTTCTTCGACTGATATGAAATCCACTGCTTCAAATTGATAACAAAAATATTCATTCATGCTAACCTTATAATGTAATCCAGTGTTATGTAATAATGATGAGAAGCCTCATGTTAAGTGGAAGCGACCTCTCAATGCTTTTAGGTTTACAATTGTTGTCTATCTGTCGGATTTTTATTTATATACTATTAAAATAAGGGGGCATTGAAAGAGATTTACTGATTGTCAAAAAATCAGTCTGATTCAACTACTCAATGTATGTTAGTAGGGACAATGTAAGCATGATACAAATCAAATGCGTATTTAATATAAATAGATATGTTGTGTATGTATAATACAAATATTTTAATTACTATGACCTTTTGAACGATTTCTGCTGACAGCTTTTTCTTTGTATGAATTTTATCAGTATATTTTCTAAAAGTATCGTTTCGTTGGATTATTTATACGATATTAGGTATAATTACATTTCTTTCACATTGTTTACTATTACTTAATGGTGTAAATACTAAACAAATTAAATAATTTTAAAAACTTCCATATTGTAAATTCGAACAATATTGTTTTCAGTTAGATACTCTAGTCTTTAATTATACAATAGTATTTATATGCATTGGTGGAATTATTCAACCAATCAAAGAGGTTTGAGAGTCAATGATAACAGTGGGAAGGTTACATAACGCTACTCATCGAAGAAATTATTTTTTTAGTGACGTAATGACTTTTAAGGTTGAAAACTAAGCGAAAGTTATCTAAAATACTTAATTACAATTGTTTAAAGCTTGAAAATAAGTCAAGCAATATATCACATTAATTTTGTCAAAAAGCCTGTCACTACATACTCAGCGCCTGCAACAATCAATGCCAATATCAAACGAGTGGCCAAAACGTTTATAACTTTATATTAGTATTTTTCACATTAAACCCTACAACACGTGAATAACGTTTGTTGGAGTAAACTGACAATTTTTCATATAATTCCTTTAGTTGTTACAGCTTTGTAACAAGTCGTTGATCAAATTATTTGTGTCCCTCTGTCAAAGATCTTTGTTTCTTATATTCTATGTTAACGATTCATACATATGTTCTCAGATTGTTAGTTATTGATTCGGTATATTTGATATTAACTTGTTTTTCCGCAACCAGTTTACGCATTATCTTGCCTCGTGTTTTCGATTTTCCTAATTTCAACAAAAGTCAGTTTTACTTTGTATGTATTTCATTTAGAAACGTTGACTGTATTTCCTCCACCACTTTTCTGATTGTTTTAACTCAGCTGTAAAAAATGTGTTTAGCCAATTTTTCGGCTGTACAATTTTAGTATAAGAATGGGGATTTGTGAAGGTTATAGTAATTTTAATAGTTGAATTCGTGAGTTCATCTAAGCTAGACCACCATTGAAAACCTGGAAAAACTGAACGGATGTTTCTTTCTAGTATGGGACTCCTCAGCAGTGCGCATCCACAATCCGGCAGGCAGTACTCAAACCCAGAATCTTCGGTCTTTCTTGCGAACGCTTAACCTCTAGACCACTGAGCCGGCATCCAACGGTGTTAATGTCTAACTTCAATCAGAATGGTTGATGCGCACTACTGAGGAATCCCATACTAGAATGAAACAGCCGTCTAGTGCTTCCAGGTTTTCAATGGTGTCTAGCTTAGATCGGCTCATAACTTCAACTATTAAAATTTTATTTAGATCAAGTATCGTTTGTTTCATCCATAGTTTGTAAGTAAAATTATTGATACATTTTTAAAATAATAGATGAACTTTAGATTTCAGGTTTAATTATGTAAATATGATATTTTTAATTAACGTTAAAGTGTTTCCTAGGAATTTTACGCTTTCTATATATTAACTTTTTCTCCAACTTATTCTTCATTCCATTTCAACAGTTCACTTTGTTGAATTAACGTTTCATTAATTTTATATTGTAAATGGTATTCTTAGAAAATGTATCTATATACAGAAAATATCATGCATCATATTCTTCTAGAATTATTAATTTAGAAGTATATAATTTATGTGTACTTTTGTTTGGGTATAAATATGCGAAATACGTTATCATGCTGTTTTGTACTTATATATATCAGAAATGATTAAAAAGGAAGTGAATAATGATGATGAAAGGAACAGCAAGTGTTCCAGTTGTTATATTTTTATAGTTGTTATTTTGTCAATTTGGTGCTCAAAAAATATGTGCCGGTTTATTAAGCATAAGGTCAAATAGATAGTGTAAAGTTGTGAAAATGGCATATTTTGTAGCTTATGAATGTTATCAATGGTTTAGAATGTTGGTTTTTTAAAAAGTTCCACTTTAACTTTAGAACAGATCAACATTCTGCCTGATACACATATGCATTGTCCAAATTTACCGTAATACATTATATAAGTTAAAAGATGAATAGTAAAAAAATAAATGTAATATTTTGTAATTTGTAACGATCAGGACTAAACATTGAGGATGTATTCCTAGAATAAACTATAGTTTACATTGTGTAAGCTTTTCACATGTTAATAATTTATCTATGAGAATACAACATTAACAAATAAATCGATTATGAATAAGGAAACTGACTCGGTGGATTATACGTTTTAAATTACTAAGTTGATATCCTTTTCAAAAGTAAAATCTTATGTATTGATAACATAAAGGGTTTGTGAATAATGTTATATTTGAGAATAGTTTATGTCGCAAACTGACTTGAACTAGACGTTCGATAAAAAACCAGATTTTGAAGATCCGTTTTATCGTAGTTACGCGTACTCCCGTTGCTTGAGAAACGTCCTATCTTATTCCATATATATTTAATATTACAAGGTATTCTTCTCAAAGTGAGTATTGTGTTTATATAGATATGTCAGTGTTATAAATATTCTCCTTACTGTTCAAATTCCATTTAGTAATTTGCACACTGTTACTTTGTTTAAACATTCAGATTATTGATAAATCAAAACGGGATGCCCGTGAAGAAGTTGAAATATTGCTTAGACACCATAATCATCCAAATATTGTTTCCGTTCGAGATGTAAGTTCGTTAAATTTATTCATCATTTTCCAAAATACTATTATGATTATCAGTTAATTTAACTGTTAATTTAGTGTACGTTTATTCATTTTACAACTAGCTGTTATCGCATCGCTGGCGTTGTCTAAAATGTTAGCTATTCCAAATCACATTCCATTTCTATAGAGTGGTTAATAAGTGTGAATTAGTGTAAGTTATTTTGATGTAACTGACATGAAGCGCGAGACCTGAGTTTTACGTTTGTTGACACTTGTCAGTGTGGAATATTGGGATTTTTAAAGTTAATGATTTTTACTTTCGTACTAGAAGTTGGGTCGTCCAACATTATAATTTAAAAACGTGTTCACTTCAGTCTAAATGGCTTAATGTCAACGCATCTGACAGTGACGCTGGGTGACGTAAACTATGATATCATAATAAATAACAGTTCCCTCTTAGAGTACAGATACACTATGCTTATGGGTCTCAAGAGAAATGCAAGATCAATTTACAGCGCTTCATGTCCATTATTTCCAATCAACTTACTTTAAAAATAGTACATTTAGTGTCAGCTGCTATAGACTAGTAGCTGCATTGAACCATGATCGATAACATTATATCGAAACTTGGGACAAACTTATGATTGGTCACTACTCAATGATCAGTATGTGAACAAATACACTATCTTTACAGATTCTAGTTCCTTTTAATAACATGTTTCACTGTAATTGTTGTCGACCCTTTTTTTCCACACTTGATAATTTATGCTCAGTTTTATTTTTAACTGAAGTAGTAAGTCCTATTATTGATGAATTCACATATTAAATAAATGTGTTACTGATATTTCTTCTTGAGAAATAAAATATATTTCACTCTTAATTAGATCTAATCATTTCTTATAGGATTTAGTTTAATTTGTATCTTTACTCACATGACTAGAAAAAGAAAAGTAGTCTTTAATTATTCCGAGTAAAAGTTAAAATTAGACAATGTTATAAGGAATTCTACATATGACAAGTTGCATATTGTTTTAGTAAAAGATTAATTAAACATATATTAAAAATTTGAACCATTGTATGGCGAATTAGTTGTCTGAAAGCTAAATATTTTCTACTAGGCTTGAAATGTCTGAATTCTCTCCCTGTGCTAGTCGTGGTTCCTCATTGGTAAAGAATTCCATACTTCGATAACACAGGTGTTCAGTGCACCTCGGTTTATAATCATTCACAAATCAACATTAATCTCCGTAAAAATCTCCAAAACATTATTCAACAGTAAAGGTAATAATGCTACAAAATCAATGTTGTGACTTTATGTCCGGCTTTTTATTACGTGATTTATCCAATAATCAAAATACGTTTTATACAATCTTAATACTGTGCCAAACCAATGACATTCGACCGGTATAAGCAGCCTAGCGTCCTTATTGGTCCTATGTCCGCTTAGCCCGTCCACTTGAGTCCAGAACACCAATACCAGCTTCCAATGTGCGAATCGAATCTTTTATTTCAGACATACTGAGTTTATATATCAATCTGATAGGGAGTGAAGTAGTTGAGTGTGTCGACCGCTTCACTTATCTTGGAAGTCTCATCAGCCCTTGTGGTTTAGTGTGTGACGAAATCTCAGCACGGATACAGAAGGCTCGACTAGCTTTTGCCAACTTGCGTCATTTTTGGCGTAGGCGAGATATCCGTCTATCAACCAAAGGACGAGTTTACTGCGCAGCAGTTCGTTTCGTCCTACTTTATGGCAGTGAAACATGGCCGGTAAGAGTAGAGGATATCCGTAGGTTACTAGTATTCGATCATATGTGTCTTCGAAACATTGCTCGTATATCCTGGGACCACCAAGTAAGTAATACAGTTGTTAGGAAACGGGTACTAGGTAAGGATGGCAAATCAATTGATGAAGTAGTGAAACTTCATCAGTTGAGATGGCTGGGACACGTGTTACGTATGCCCTACGACCGACTGCCTCGACGTGCTATGTTCAGTGGTATAGGAGTAGGTTGGAAGAAAGCTAGGGGCGGCCAGAACAAAAGATGGCACAAGTCCATGAAGTCACTGACAAGTGGACTGAGTCATGTTGGTAGGTGTAGACTACCTGGTTGGGGACCGCGAGATGACAGCAACCGATGGTTAGGGACCTTGAATGACATGGCTGAAAATCGTTTGCAGTGGCGCAGGTGCATCCACTCTTTATGTTCTCTCAAATTCTAATCTTCTGAATTCTTCATGTCCGTTTCTTTTTTCTCTTTCCAAATTTCTTTCACTGGATTATACTCTTTAAATAACATCTCCAAACCCTAATCTTCCCGATTACTGCTTATACTCTTATTACCTCTATCACTACGGGATTTGAATCGACAAGTCCATCTCTGTGCTAATGTGGTGTGGCAACTCGAACTGATGTACGTACGTACGAAGTTCTACGTTGTTACTGACTGACTGACTATATATCAATCAAACAGACCGCAACGCACCATAAAATAGGAAATAACATTTGTACACAATAAAGCCAAAAAAGTGGCTGTGAACATGGGAGGTAGTAGTCAATAAACTGAACATAGCTTAAGAACAGTAAATCGTACAATAATAAATTATAGGTCAGAATAAAGCTTATAATAAGGGGAATATAAATATACATAATCTAATTATTGAATAGTTATACCATAAGAATGTATAGATCATATTAGTCAATTAATATGTCTGAAAAATTACTCGTGATTTAATCTTCGCTCGGATATAACAACCAATATCATAAATAACGAGATGAATTGGAAATACTTTTTATAATCTACAAATTCTTTTCATCATCTTTTAAATCTATTTTAATTTGATATAAAAACAAAGAATTTTTTCCATTTAATTTGATAAATAAATAAGTTAATAAAAGTATACGAGAATATTCACCTTGTAAGTGTTTTCAACACATTGTGACAGATTAATTAAAAAAAACCCAGTGTTATTTCACTTTCATTAAAAAAATGTCTTTTGAATCTAATGATAAACACCTTATTGGTATGATTTGTCTCTTTTACTATTATACAAAGAAATCTTTATTAAGTTTTAATGTAAGAACTCACTAAGCCAAAAAAAGACAGTTAAAACATATTTCATTGTGTTATCGTTCTTTTAAAGATTTTTTCCTAAAAAAATTAATCAAATATAGAGTATACTTGATTACTTTCGATAACGTTTAGAAAGTTCAATTATAATTGATATAAAGTATTCTAATAATGGCTGGTTAATTGATTTTCCTAACATAAAATATCAACCAATCGGGATTTGCTTGAATAAATAAAAAGTATTTCAGAAAATTTCAAGCATAAATTAACTATATATATATATATATATAATGTTTAATAGTTTATATCACGAATTGACCTCATTTAGACAACCATTAGAAACCAGAAAGCGTAAATTAGTTTTCTCCTTCTAGCATAGTACTTTCCAGACTTGAATATCCACGATTTAGGCAGAGATCGAAACCATGACCAATGCTTCCTTGTTTCCTATAATTGTCTAAAGTTATTTCGTTGTGTAAAGGATAAAACATAACGATTTCTACAAACTCCACCCATTGTGTTGATATACTGCCTTTATTTTTTAAAAAATGATAATATAATAGGCGAATTAAGTGATAGTTTACGTGAAACAGATCAAGTTTATCTTTCTATTGATTATGAAGAAGTTGTTTTCTCAATACTTTGATCCACAGGGATATATATGTTTTACGTAATGAAATATCTTTTCTAAAACATATTGCTCGATAAAGACAAAAATAATCAGTAATTGTGCAGTCAATGTTTCGACAAACCTTTACTTCCCCAATCCGCTACACACATATAACAGTAAAAAATAAATTTAAGAAATATTTGACTATAGACTACTTATCGTAATTGTTTAATGTAGGAAATAAATATTTATTCTTTGAAGTTGGTAATAGCTCTGAGAACGCAGAAACATAAAATCTAAACGCAATCAGTTCAGTATGTGTGGTACTGTGTGGAAATGTTTAATTTTAATGTCCTCATCAAATTCACCAACAAAAGGTTTCTTGATTCAAGTCTCTTACATACCGACTAGTGCGTATTACAGAATATTTGACATCCTGTTTTAGTAGTGAAATATATAGAAGCCGATTTAGAAGGAACATTTGTATATGGCACTTTATTATTGTTTGAATAAATTGTTCGTTACACAACTATCAGCAGATTTAGAAATAGGCTTCCAATTACAATTTCTTTGAAAAATAAGTAACCTCTTTATACAACGTTTCTAGTTAGATATCTAAACAAGTAACAATGATTACAGAATTTATATTAAAATTATAATTATAAACATATGTAAGACATATTCATAGTAATAGTGTGGTGAACGAGAACACAAGTGGGGAAAACCTATTTATTATTCAATGCGAAATTACAGAGTGCTTCAGTAAAATATGAAAATCATACATTAAATACATCATTTGCACATCTTTGTGTTGTCCTTTATCTACTACACTATTCCTCTAATTCCGTTTTTATTTTAATTGCTCTCCGATTTGCTTTGTGTTCTCTTTAATTCAATCTTCTGCTCCCAGGCATGACAACTTCCGATCGTGGCTACATACTACTTACATCTGACAGCATACGTAGCATACACTACAATATAATCAGTCATTTTTAATAATTATAAATAAGTGCAAATAAATCCATCTTGTATGCTGTCAACAAATTTACACGTTGAATTGCATACCAATGATAGATTTACTATGCATAATTAATACAAATCAACCGATAAATCAATCAATGATCTAATTTTGAGTAGGAAACAAGATTTTGACCTCTTAAGTTTCAATTTGATATGGAGTGTTTTGGTAATTTGTGTATCTAAACACTTTAAATCATACTTTATATTTACTATTAGTAGACGATAAGTAAGAATAATTGGGCAAATTTGAACAACTCTTTCACTCTTGAATTGATTTGAAATAAACTATAAATCTATATTCAATTGATAATTTAATAATGTGAATAGAACTGGCAAATGTATGCAAATGACCTTAGTTTGTTTAGATCAACACCTTTACATTCTATGCAAATATTATTTTGAAAATTATATTAACAGTATTATTGTCTACAAGAAATGTGGTAATAAATATTTACTATATATTCATAAAAAAATTAATGATAAATAATAGTTTTAAGAATAATTATTGTTATGAGATTGTATATTGAAGTATAACAGAATTAAAGATTAATAGTTATGAATTAAATCTCACTTATAACTTGTTCAGAAAAAATTCTTTCGTTTGACAGCCATCATTAGACATTTTACAGTTGACCTTCTTTGTTATCTACAAATTTATTTAAAGATGAATAAAAGTACCATTTTAAACATAAACAGTAATTTATTATTCATAAGGGTTTATATTTGGTCATTATTGATATCTCAGATTGAAATTTTAAATTTATTAATGTATGTACACTTTGAACAAAACCCTCGATATTCTCAGCATTAACAAGTATTTTCGATTTACATTTTTATATCATGATTAAGAGTGATATCCTGAACCAATTTTTCACTTTATTTAAAACTCATCAGTTGCATTTGTCAGACGTCTAACGTTAGTATACTTACTGAGACTAGAATCTGATAGCTAACGCTTTAAAATTCATCTTTGGATATCAACAATACAACACATAATCGTTTAGGAATGATGGATGTGATACTTGGTTAGTGTGTTAGTAGCTATCCAGATTTGACAGCTTCAGGCTAACTTGTTTATTTTCAAAGCTTTTTCTCGTGAGCAACAAATCATTCTCATTATCTCACTCTTTTATCACTTCATAGTTTTTAGAATTTATGTTTACAACAGTTTTCGCTAAAGGATATTAAGCTTCATTTGTGTACACAAAAACAATTTGTTTACAGTCTAAACTTAGCCAATTAATTCCTAATTCATTCTTCAATTTCGATAGTGGCATTTTTTTCTTAATACCATTACTGCCTACCTTTCATTCTTAACTTGTAACTTTCCACTTATTCAAATCAACCATGTTTACCTCTTTTAAACTTCCTAAATTTATATAAACTGTACAAATACCTCTAGATTTATAAATCACTTTTTTTGTAAGTTGTTTTCTCTTTTCCAATACAACAAAACTGATACAGTGGGGGAATAAAATTTTTTATGTTTTTTCCTGTAATGCTTCTATAATACGGTAATACAACGGGCGATCGAGATGATACTACCACCAATTTTTTTACTAATTAGGATAGATTGATCCTCTGTTCATAGACTGCACGATAGGTCAGATAGATGCAATATTCACAACCAAGTGTAGAGGTCTAGGATATAGACCAGACAATACTATAACTATAAAAACTATAACAGTCAACATTCAGTGAGTTCAGAGTAGAATTCAATATATAGGAAAGAAAACCATGGAAAATAAATGATCAGTAATTTGTATTTATTATTTCACACTCAATGGCCAATCACATTTATTTTCACTATCCACACACCAAATAATTAGAAAGTAAAGATGATATCCAGTTGGAATCAAGGATCGTTTGATGTGCTGGCTTAGGAAACAAACAGTTTAACTTTCAACAACTAGATCGCACATTCTCGTTCTGCTAGACCTCCTTAACTTTGAACAAATTGGTAGTATCACTAGCTCTTACACTTAAATTGTGGCTGAAAGTTGAATTTATCCTTAGTAAATGAGTAACGTTAGCATCAAAAAGGGATAAGGGTAATTCATATCTACTTAGAAAACTCCGCTAGTTGAAATATATCTTAATATTGATATTTTCAAGTTTTATTAATGGTAAAGCGTTGTTATATTAATTAAACAGTATTATTTTAAATCACTTGAGTTCATACTCTATTTCGTTTTCTGTATTGCTTGTTCCAACAATCTAATTGTATCACTAGCCTTCAAAAACATTAGAACCATATGTTTGTTGTTTTTCTTTTATTTGTTTTTCTTTCAATTAGGTTTATGAAAATGAGAATTTAGTTTATCTTGTTATGGAATATTTAAAAGGTGGTGAATTATTGGATAAAATTTTCCGAGAAAAATTTCTTTCTGAACGTGAAGCTAGTAATATCACTTATGTGATTGCAAATACTTTAAGTTATTTACACAGTAATATGGTAAGTTGGCGAATATTTTAAAAAAAATATTTAACTTCCAAATAAAATTATTGTTCGACTTGTTTTTTGACTTTCTGTATAAATATTTTGTGTAATCTTTTCAACAGTTCACTAGTTCTATGTTTGTATATATACTGTGCTGGTCGATGCTATACAACACTAAAATAAATACTTGAAAAAAATCCAAACACTAGTGAAATACTGTCTGTACAAAAATACAACAGCATTTGTTAGACAGTCTCTAAATTTATAAGATAAAGTAGAAAACCTCTCAGCTTATGCATGTTACTTGAATGCATTTAATGCGAATTTATTATAACTTCATTTCACATTCATTGGTTAGTGTGTAGTACAATTACAAATTTTCGTTACATTCATTTCGTGAATTTCATCAAACGAATTTATAGCATTTTCTTAATTTATGAACATTTGCGTAAATCTTTCATCACTTCTCTCTTTTTCTTAACAAATTATATTTCGTTATCTCCAATTGTCATCTTTCAAGAAATGTTATTTAAATAGCAATGTGAATAGGTTGGAGGTTCATTCACCAACCAGTTCGTACCATTTTGTTTTATGGCTGTATAATGTGGTCCTTATAACTTTTTATGTCACAACTATTTGATGATAGATGCTTTAGAAGCTTTTTCTGAGATATAGTAAGATCTTCAAGTGAGTATTGGTATAGTGAAAGCAGGTGACTGGGTAAAGATGAATGTGAATGTTCATCGACTGTAGTCCTCGGGAAATTTTTTATGTATACTCAACAATCGAACATATCGGTAGCTGTGAGAGCTGATGTAAGAGTAGGAAGCACGAAAGTTCTGAGTGATCGAATCAGCTTGTGGCATTAATCTATAAAGTCAATAATTGTTGAATAGAGCAATGTAAATAGGTATAAACTATCTGCTTATGGCTTACCGAATTTTCGTAACTAACGATTAGTAAATTAAGGTAGATCTTTTCCAAGAACATAATTTCTACTAGAATCATATTTTCTATACTTGATGTTTCCTCATACCTCCTATACTGTTTGTACTGATATTGCCGTAGTATCTTGCTTTTCTAACGTGATGTGGTATTGCAGCATGAACAGAAGCAAATATTTCCCAAGTTCTATTTTACTTATAACTGACTGTGAATAGTAGTCTCAATTCGTAAATCTTGTTTTCATCATAAATAATTTTATTTTTGTATTGACCAAGTCCGATTTGTTGATTTTCTTTTTTCCCTGGTCAATGATTCTAATAAGAAAAACAACTGCCAGTTGTTGGTTAAATTCTTCTATTCAACTAAATGAAATAAACAGAAATGCGACCATCATGTTTTATTGTCTCAAGTAAACAGCAACTATATTACATGAACTTTCTTTATATAGTTATCAATACATTGAGTTCATTAAATTGTTTACATTTATAAGCTTTTAAATTGTTTGCTATAATATGTTCATATAGACATAAAATGAAGGAATATTGATTTACTCAATGAGCTAAATAATTCTAAACAACTTTCTGTAAAACATTTATGAAAAAAATATAAACTGGATAGTTTAATGCTGATGGTTAAATAACATCAATCATAGAAACAAACAAAAAATATGTTGGGCAGATAAATGTTTTTTTGAAAATCCTCTTTAAAAAAGAATTCGATTTTATACACTAAGTATCTGTAAACGATGATGTACCATTGTAATAAATATACACTTGTGTAGGGTAAGGTTTAAGGTAGGTTTTTTATAATGAAAAAATAGCGTTTTACAGACCTCAAAGATGTAGAAAACTAATATTCACTAATGAGGTATATCCTAAGTTCGCTTTAGGATTCCAATTACCCTAACTTTTGACGAGTTTCAGATGTTTCAATTTGTTCTGTAATTGTTAATGTCCAAAAAAGGATAGATTTTTGTTATATCCCAATGATTAAAACGTTTTAGTCCTGACGTTTCGTGACTAAATGTGAGCCACTTCTTCAGAGTTAATAAATAACCGGATTAAATTCTTACAAGTTTAAATAGTACAAAGGAGACAATGCAGAATATTTTAAGTACAATCAAAATCACAATAGATCTGAATGTCAGTGTCAAGTTATTCTTGGTCAACGTGAATCTTTATAACCTGTCACTGTATAAATTTGTACTTTAGAATATGGGAACCAAAGATGTATGCATTTGTAATATGAAATATTGGTATTAAAGACGTATAAAATTAGAGCTTTCTATAAGACAAATGTCCTGGTACGGCCGAGAGTGGGGAGAGTCCGCTCTCCCTCTCGAAATACTCTCACACGGCCACGCGTATACAGCCTCTGCCAGGGTAGTCCTACTCATTGCCTTCTCGTGGCGGGGGTGTTGTTTACGAAAATGAGAGGATGAGAAGCGAATGTCCGGCGCTTTAACCGGATCACAAATCAATGGTGCACTTGGGCTCCAGTATCCTGCGGGAACAAATGGCGTATGAACCAATCGTTGGTCACCGGCTACCATGGGATTGCATCTCCTTACGATGGTCCACTGCCTTGTGGGTTAGACCTTTAGGTCAAAGGCTCGGGGAGTGGCCCCCTAAGATAACCACCTGCTTCGGTTTGGGCACCCGGGCAGTATCACAGCCCACACACAAATTGATGAACTCTCTATGCCTAAGGAAATTACTTTTCTCGCTTCGAAAAACAAGCAGTTGATTCAAATTATTATCATTACAATTATTGTCATTATTAATACTATTATTTTTATTACTATTATTGTCATTATTATTATTATTATTATTATTATTATTATTATTATTATTATTATTATTATTATTATCCACATCATTCACCCTCTTTTATACTTATACAGCGGCTCGTCTTTGGTGGAAATTCGACTGTATCTAAACGTTCTCGAGTCACTGTCCGGTTGAAAATTGTATGTTACCAACGAATATGAGTACTGAGACAGTTTTTCTGAAAACACGTGCGCCATTCAAACTGGCTGCCTTCAACGTTCGCACATTTATGCAGGTTGGACAACAGATATTGCTGGCTATGTCTTTGGAAAGTCCTCATATCGATGTCTGCTGTCTATCCGAGACCCGTATTCATACTCTAGTGAAGTACTACAAATTCGCTCTACATCTGTCACTTCAAAAAGCTTGCTTTACGTGCGTTTATCCGGGGACCCTGTGGCATCTTCGTCTGGTTTTGCTGGTGTTGTTGTCGCACTATGCGCTAGAGCTGAGGCAGCACTAGTCGATTGGATCCCCATTAACAGTCGGTTGGTTATGTGCTGTTAGATTAGAAAGTTCCATCAAAGTGAGAAGAAATCGGCGTGAGAAACGATGTCTTTTGGTCATCTCCGCCTATGCCCCGACAGATTGCAGCCCGGATGCAATCAAGGATGATTTTTACCACCAGTTATCTGTTCTTCTCCAGAAAGTGTGTTCGACAGATATTGTGGTACTAGCCGGAGACTTGAATGCTCAGGTCGGGCGTCTAGGCACAGAAGAGAGTCGTTTAGGTGGCCGATGGGGACTTGTTGGTCGCAGGTCAGATAACGGGGACCGTCTACTGCAACTTTGCACAGACCACAACCTGTTTCTGGCTAGCACTAAATTTCGGCACAGTCATCGCCGATGTGCCACCTGGCGTCCTCCCTCTGCATCTCAAGCCTTGACTCAGATTGATCACATCGCGATCAGCTACCGCTGGTGTAGTTGTGTACAAGCTTGCCGCTCCTTTTGGAGTACCTATCTGGACTCTGACCATGCCTTGGTCTGCGCCAATCTTGCCTTACTTTTCAGTGGACAATGAAGTGACCGCCATCAACGGATTGATATTAGCAAGCTGGTTGCAACTTCTGTTGCAAGTAAGTATCGAACCGAGCTAGCCTGTAGGCTAGCTACCACCTCACCGAAAAGTGTAGATGAGCATTGGTTGCAATTGCATGACGCCATGAAAATGGCGGGTACAGTCAGTTGTGGGTTCGTGAAACGTCCCGCTTATAAGCACTGGGTTTCTTCTGGTTCCTTACAACTCATTGAAGCCCGTCGGTCTACTCCGGGTGACCGTGAGTTTGACCATAAACGAAGGATGTTACGTAAGGAAATCGGACAAAGCTTGCGTAAGGACCGAGAAGCCTGGTGATCGAAGCATGCTAATGAGCTGGAAGCAGCAGCTGCATCTGGTAACTACCGGAAGCTCTTCCAACTCATCCGAGCCACTGGCAGCAAGAAGTCTGGTGTGAGTGAAACAATCTGCGAGGATGATGGGATGCCAATCACTAACATCCATCGACGTCTTAGACGATGGACAGAATTTTTCGAAGGGCAGTTCGACTGGCCTGCTGCTCCGGCAACATCGGTCAGACTGTCCTGGCCTCCATGGCCGGTGACGACTGATCCACCAAACGAGGAGGAAGTCCTCAAGGAACTCCAACTCTTGAAGTGTTAAAAATCACCTGGCCCAGATGACTTACCTCCGGCTCTTTTTAAAGATGGTGGTGACTTTTTGACTAAGGAATTGACGACGTTGTTTACAAAGGTTTGAGAACTAGAGAGTGTACCAACGTCATGGAATGAGTCGATAGTTGTCCCTATCTTTAAAAAGGGTTCACGTCGTTCCTGTAACAACTATCGGGGGATAAGTCTACTTCCGATTGCGTCCAAGCTATTGGCTTCCGTCATACTTCGTAGGTTGTTCAAAACCCGAGAAAGATTGACTCGCGAGGAGCAGGCTGGGTTTCGTTCTGGTCGAAGATGTATTGATCATATCTTCACCCTCCGCCAAATGTTAGAACACCGCCATATTTATCAAAGGCCAACAATCGTAGTGTTTCTTGACATCAGGGCTGCCTTCGATTCGTTGGACAGGGCTGTTCTCTGGGATTGTCTATTGAAGAAGGGTGTGCCTGAGAAGTTTATTAACATCCGAAAAGCCCTATATACAAACACCTCAGGCAGAGTGAGGGCATACAACCACCTCTCTCCATTGTTCCATTTGAGCACTGGGGTTAGGCAGAGTTGCCCAAT